AGCCAATATGACAAAAAAGTGATTTTTAAAAACTTACAGACTTCAGCTTTAAAGTGAGATAATTAGACATTATGCACTTTAAATATGACAATGCAATTTTTTTTTCTTATTTTAAATGTCAATTTTCTTGTCCCATTGGCTATGGTTTATAATAGTCTTTTTGGGTTTTATTATCAGATTCACATTTTTTTAAAACGTACGTGACATGTTTCAATAGTAGAAAATGTCAGGTATGATTAGTATTTTTTAAATATTTATCAGTTACAAATTATGTGCCTGGTAATAGAAAAAACTAACAAACTTTAATTTAGAATCTGTGGCAAGACTGGGAAAGACATGCCTACAAATGCACCCCATCCAATTAGACTGTACTGACTGTACTATTAGACTGTACTATTTTGTTATAAAAATGGGCCCAAGTCTGACAAGACCAGTATTGCGACATAAGTTGATTGTAGTAATCATTGACTGAGGGATGTGAACACAAATACATGGAATGTGTCTTCCATTATGCAATTATTAGCCTGCTCGTGCTGACCTGTCAAATTTGACCTGAAAAAAAAACATAAATGCTTGCTTGTAAATGCCGTCCCAGGCAAATATGAAGTTTTACTGTTGTTGACAATTATCATTATTATTTTTTAATTGGCAGAGAAGTGATGGCTTAGTGGTTAGATAGCAGAGTGCTTATGTCAGGGAGAGGCTACAAGATTGCTGGTTCAAACCTCTGATGTAACTCTTTCCCTTAGCAGGACCCTTAACCACACAATTTGAGCTGGGCATTTCTAGCTTCTCACTGTGCCTTCAGTATGTAAAAAAAGCAGGAGGAACATGTTTAAATTGCAATAAAAACAAATGTGATTTTTATTCTTATGGAAAAAGTTCAAAGGATGTTAACACTTGTTTACAAGGCACTGAAAAATGTGGGTCAACAGTCTATAACAATAACCATGGACAAAATTGGCAACTGTTTTTCTGTCTTTCTATTTTGCTCAGACGGAGAGCACCTGGAATGGCAAAGCAAGAGGGGGCTCTGGCCAACAGAATCGCCCGGTGAGGCGACCTTGCACTGAGCTACTAAAATATTTAACCGCCACTGATGACATCCTGCTCAACACCAAAGCCAGTGATGCCAAGAGCACCTGGGGGGGTCCCAGTAGCAGGGACAAGAGTAGCCTGGGTCTTGGTGCCTCATCCTCGTCCTCATCGCCATCCTCGTCATCCACCTCCTCGTTCTCCTCCCTGTCTTCCACATCTTCGTCCACTTCGTCCACCACCTCCAAGAAGAAGTCAGCTGTGTCATCTCAACAGCAGCTACAACAGCAGCAGTCACTGCAGCAGCATCACCAGCGAGGTGAGAGCCGGGCTGCAGGCCAGTGTATTGTGGCTGGTCATGGGTCTGGGAAGTGGAAGCGTTGCTCTCAGGATGACGGGGTTAAGGATTCGGAAGGTGCCTCTTACCCCATTGGTCGCAGAACCTACACCTGCGGCCATGCCTGCCCAAAACAGGAGCACGGGCCGCCCAGTGAAGAAGGAAGGCCGCCAGGCAATGTTGGCCGTCTGGCTGCCGCTAGGTTCATTAGGTATATGCATTCTTATTCCCTCCCTCCCCGAGAGGTGAGTCACAGCTGTGAGCATTGCCGAGAGGCTGCAGGCGCCACTCAGGCTAGGCAAGGGTTTGGCAGACAAGGCCGTAGTAGCAATGGCGTTGCCAGCAGTGCGCCTCATAGGAACATCACAGTGACGATTAAGAAAAGAGATGTGAAGCCAGGACACCCTTTACTTAGCCAGCTGCTTACCTCCAAACAGAGGCCGACTCAATTTCTGGCTCAACTCCACCAACTCTCAGTATCCTCTGCAAGTAGTGTTAGAAGCAAAACGGCAGGTAAGAGATCTAGGAGCCCATCCAAGATTTTGTTCAAGGGACAAGAGAGGGAAGTCAAAGATGTCTCTGCTTTTATAAACCAGACTCAGGAATCAGATCCAGGACCTCCATTGTCACCTATTACATTAGACATACACAGCTGGATCAGTCAGCCGGAACCAGGGCTAGATTGGAGCTTTGGACGAGAGCCTGGGTGGCCAAAGCAGGGAGGCTTTGGGGAGGATGTGGACCATGATAATGATGGTGATGGTGTTGTTGTTGATGATGATGATGATAACCATGTCATAGGCAGCCCTGCTGCAGTGCTCTCTCAGGGCCCACCCCTCAGCCCTCTCCTCCCAGATACTAGCATTGCAGAGCCCTCCCCTCCCTGCATCATACAAGGGCAAGGCCCCCCACACAGGCAGGCACTCAGCGAGCACCCCGATGACCAGGGAAACCTGTTGTTAGGTAATCATGACTGCATCCCCCCCTCCTTCCCCTACCTCTGGCCTTACGGTCGCTTGCTTTCTACTCCTTCTGCTGCTTTAACCACTTCCAAGTTTGATTTCACAACTAACCTGTTTTCTAATTTGAGTCTAACAGAAGACATACACACCAATGACCAAAAAACAGCTTGCTCGCTTTTGCTAGTCCCCAAGGCATTTTTGAGAGAGAAAAAAAATGGGAGAAGGGGTGAGCCTTGTCATGCTGCTGTACATTCTATTTTTTGTAAAATCGGTGCAGAATATATACTTTTGAACTCAAATACCTGGGCGCTCCTGTTTTGCATCCTGCCTCTAAAGCTACATTCTCTTAGCGGGAACAAAAGTCGGCCAAAGCCTCGGGCAACTGCACAAGCTTCCTTGACTCTCCTTTCTTTCTTCTATTTTCCCCTGTCCTCTGCTGTTGGTGCATGCAATCATGTCTTTTATTTTTCTTGTCCAGGGATGGGCTCACCCAATGTCATATGTTTTGTTTATAGCATTGTCTTTGTATGTTTTTCTTTTTAGTAATTTTTATTCCATTATGATATGTTTGTGTCAAACCTGGTCTGTTTATGTATAAATGCCATCACTCCATCCTGCCTCACAGAATAAATAGTATATAAATAAATATATACATATATATACATATATAGTACATTCACAGAGTTAATTGTTAAAACGGGGTCAATTTAAAAAGTATAATGTAAGTAGAAACAGAGATGGGTTTTCTTTGGAGTAATAATTGCATTTGTTTCACCAATTTGAGATTAATTGTTGCAGAATATGGACCTTGTCTCTTCTGCCATGATTGTCATACCTAGATCAATAATTACCCATGCTCCTTTGTGTTCTGCAGCCAAACCAACCACCTTGCCACTTCCTTTGACCCCAGAGTCTCCAAAGTAAGTCTGTGAAATTTTTCCACATTATTCTAGGCTAAAAAGCAGAAACAAACTAGAGCACAAAGACAAAGCCAAAAGAAGTTATATAAATTAGAATTCAAGCTGAGGCATTTTTGTGACTCATTTCCATTTCTTAGATCACAAAAGGCTGTAAAGTCTTTCCTTTTTGGTGCTAAATTTTTTTATTTGTTTTGTCTTCCAGTGACCACAAAGGATCACCCTTTGAGAACAAAACCATTGAACGCACATTAAGCGTGGAGATTGCCGGAACCCCAGGTGAGCACCCCTTTCTGTTTACTGAAACTAAATTTGGCTTTGGAATAAGCCAAGAATAGCACTAATTCTTGCAATCAGTCTTATAGATAGGTAAGGGTTCATGGCTCTTTTTCTGGCCCTTTGATAGTCCCGACACAGTTTAAAGTTCCAGGTGAAAACCAAAGGAGGTCTTTTTATAGTTACAAGTATTGATTGCCTTTCAAATATTTGCTTGATTTATTACTAAAAATATCTCTTGCTTTTTTTATTTTTATCTCAAGTGTTGATAAGGTCTCACAATCAGATCTGAACATTAGCTCAAACACAGCAGTCCTCTCCTAGAGTGAACTGCAGAACAATCCCCCTATAGCAATTTTAAACATTATCAAATGATAGCCATAAATATAATTAATGAACACCTATTTAATTAGGATTGGTTGGAAAGAAAATGAAACTTAGTTTTGAACTATTTTTTATAGGAAATATGGATGCTTTGGCAAGCAATATTTGGTCACCTTTACACTGACACCTTAAAGTAATATCCAGGGCAATTTAATCTGATCTGGAATTCAACCTTAGTAGCTTATTGTTAGAGAACATTAACGAACACATAGTATAATAAAAAAAAAAAAACATCAAGGACAAGCAGAAAGTCAGGTAGAAAGTCTTGAAAAGTTTAAATCAAGGTATGAGAACATTCTTAATCTTTCTCTTCAAATAAAAAAAAACAAAACAATATAACACGGCTGCAAACTCACCAAGATGTGATAACGGCCCAGGCATGAAAAGCTTTAATCTCTGAAGATGCAAAGAGGCCAGTGATAACTTTGAATAAGCTGGAGAGATCAACAGTACGGGTGGGACAGCTGTTAGCTGTACAAGGTTGGAAAGTTTAAAGTCGTTGTTGAAATACAGTCAAAAGAAGTCCTGTTTGCAATTTGCCAGACAAACGATGTGGAGGATACAACAAATATGTGGAAAAAGAATCTGGTCATAAATGGTCTAATGAAAGTCCAGATCTAAATACAATTAAATACACATAGCATGGCTTGCATATAGATGCTCACAGATGCTCTGCATCCAATCTGACTGAACTTGAGCTATGTATTTTTTCAAAAAGGATAAAAAGCAAAATATTTAAACTCTAGTTTTACAAAACTGTTAAAGACATGCCTCAAAAGCCTTGCAGATGGAAGTGAACAAATGGAGTTTTAACAGGGACTATTACTGTGTTACCTTTAATGTTTTTTTGTTTGTTTTTTTCAAGTAGCATATCAGAAAATATTGATGGGAACAAAAAAATATTATAAACTTTCCAGTTATTTGCAAAACTGAAAACACACTTGCTACATAAGTACTGATTTATGTAGCAAGTGCCTCACATCATCCTCACATGACTGATTAGTTGGTTTTGCTGTTGCCATCTCCCCAGTATAATTACACCATTTTCAATCACTTCGGACAGCATGTAACACACCAATACTAGACAGAGCAATTACACCCTGCAGAAAAGCAACAGATTTCCGAAAATGTATCTTAGATGTGAGGACCATGCAAGTTTGAAACTTCTACCCCTTTATTTTTACAGCCATGTGTTAAGTCAGCTTCTGTGTAAGTATAATGCTAATAAATGCTTTTAAGAGTGTGGTAGTAAAACTAGATAAGTTTGTTTAAAAACACTCTGGAAAAATTTCAAGGGTTATAAATACTTTTGTAATACACAGCACTAGGATGACAACTGAAATGGGTATAGAATATATGAGGCAGACTGTTAAAAAGGCTGATTAGGGAGTTATTTCCTTTGACTTGGGTTCTGTTATACTTTTAGAGGGCGTTTATGTTTCATTGCTGGCACCATTGTTTGGCATCATTCAGTGTGATAAAAACGGAGTAATGCTGCCAAAATGGGAGTCATTCATTTCTTTATCTGGTTATTAAAACTATTTCAGTAACAGCCTTTCAGTTATTTGAAATTAATTATCCAGGGTCAGTAAAAATAAAAAGGATTGCCCTATAGCCTCTAATACTGGCCCTCTTGAGTATTCATTTACCAGCAGGGGAAGTGATCCTTGTATTTACCTCATGTGAGTCCAGACCTTCTACTTGGAGGGGACAGTAATTTAACCCTCCCCAGAGGTCTATGTTTCTGGCTTGGCTTTAAGTGTTGTTTAACCCTTTTGTGCAGATAAGCTCTCAGGGTCAAATGTGATACCCAGTGAGACCTAAAGGAAGAAAAAGAGCAGCATTCCTTAAGCTCTGGCAGCAATCAGGCTCAGTTAATATTTCCTTTTGTTTTATTGCATGTGGGCAAATCTTTTAAAGTGCAGCCAAATCCCTTGCATGGCCTTGCATTCCACACATCGATGTTTCAAAGCCGCATAAGAAATAAGTCCCTTCACCTGAATTTTCAAGTTTTAGGATAATTTTTGATTGAATATTAGCAAGGAAGTTGATTCGTCTGGAAAGCTCAGGGTTACCGAGACCCATTTCATAGAGATTAGTTGGTGCATGGGACAGATGGATGTAGATCCCAGTGAAGCACAAGTGTAAGCTCTTACATGTGCTGCTCAGATTTAGAGTGGCATTCCACCACAATAGAGATAATGGTGGTGTTATAGATAATCAGATGGTTAGAGAAGTGCGTACTTCCATTTTTACAGCAGGATGACCATGCATTGAGGAAGAATTCAGAGAACTACTATAAAGTTAGTGTAGTTTCTTCAAATAATAGAGTAGTTATCTTTAAATATCAAGTGAAATAAAAACATTTGTCTTCAGCATGTATTCCTGTACAGAAAGTAAGGAGCCCCTTAACCTTAGTTTTCAGTTCTACCCTCAATCAGTATAATACTTTTACACAGTAATGCTGTGTTGTGTTTAATTACTGTGTGACATCACATATTAATTATTTTTGGTTTTTGCAAAGTTTGTATAGGCTCTTTATCTTTGATTTTTACTTTTCTTTTTTGGCTCACTCATTCCGTAATGTTCTTGCCACTCCCTGCATAATTGGTGTTTGTGTCCCACAGATCATCCATCAATAGCAGGTTTGACTGAGAGGCACATATTTGTCTAACTCTGATTTATTTCTGACATCTTATTGCTAATGGCGCCTAGTTTATGATCCCATGCAGAAATTGGTGTGGACAGATGGAGCGTCATTGATAAACCAGAAGTTTTTTAGGCATTCTCTGAGACCCACTCCCTTGTTTCTCCTATAATGCTCTGCAAAAGTATTTGGCATAATTAAACAATTTTTTATATTCGCTGAAAAAAAAAGGATTTTACAAGATGAGAGACACATACTTATGGAAAGGAGGATAAAACAAATGCAAGGTTTTTCAAATACGTATTGTTTATTGCACCCCTGTTACACTAATACACTAAAAAAAAAATTTGAGCGGGCAACTGTTTTAGAAGTTGCCCAGATAATTCAAACTATCCACCTGTGTAGATTATTTCCAATATAAATTGAGCTGCTCTATAAGACCTCAGTTTTGGTAGTGAATAAACACCATCATAAGCCAAGGAGCAAGACAGACAGGTAATGAATACAGCTTTGGAGAAGTTGTTCGTGTATACTGTTGTTTCATACTGGTCTGAGCTATTTTTGTAAGAAAGAATGGGCAAGATTAGTAGATATTGTATAAATGTATAATGCAGTCTCTCTAGGAAATACATTTACAAGGGGGGCATTGGAGGACATGGGTGCTTGCAGTCTTCAATCATGCATAGACATTGAGGGTGTTGATAGCTCCTTGGCTCATAAATCCCAAACACGCTCTGTTACTTTAGAAACACTCAGTTTTGTCTGTAGCTCTTACCTTCTCTTCACCAAGACATACAGTATGACTGGTGCATATTCTAACACTGGATTTGATACTAATAGCTGTCATTCGATAGAAATTCACTAGCAGGGTAGGAATGATGTGTAAAATAGGAATAACAAACAAGGAGAGGTAGAGAGAGTGTAGGTGTTTCAAAGTGTCTGAGTTTGACTCCAGTGAGAGACTGTTAGTGACAAGTGCGCCAGTGTGTGTGGGCACATTTGTTCTCCGTGAGCCAGAAACAGGGGAAGATGAAGAATGACAGAGAAGGGTGGGAAATGGAGATTGATCTAGCGGAAGATGGCAGACACAGGGAAGACGAAAAAGACTGAACTAGGGAGTGAGGGGGACTGAAAAAGGAGGTGGGAATGAGTGGAATGAAAGTAATGGCAGTGTCTGTTTGTGCGAACGCAGTAACAAAGCTATAAAGTGGGCTCATCTCAGGACTTCTCATATAGCTGCCATCTGTTTGGTTGTAAATCTGTAGGAGGAAAAGGGGAGTGATGGGGGAATGTTGGTTATGAGCACTAGAAAAGAATGTCAACCCAACCATCATTTCTTCTATTGCCGTGGCGGCATAGTATCTTGCCATTTGTAGATCTCAAAAAATGCCAAAATGTGCATTAAAGAATGAGACATTCAGTGTCCTCCGAACTGTGTTGAAGGAGGATAATCTTAAAACATATAACGTAATTCAACTAAGCTTATAGGATGTATTGTATGTTATACTTATATTCATTTTCCATTAGATGCATGACATTTATCTGGGGCAAGAATGTTTTGTGTTTTTGTGTATTTTTTTTATGAAAATCTTAGTTCAAGGTTGGAGACAAAAAGAAGGGCAAGACATCCTTATTAAGTTACACCGAGCATTACATTAATCTGTCAAGACTGCAATAAAATAGGATTAGACCAAGTGAAAGTGAATATTTTAATCAGACTTGTATCTGTGCCCACTGTCCATAAATTGACCTGTGAGTTTATAGATGAGTGATAGAGGAAAAGAGATGGGGGGGCATTCTTGGTATCTGGGAGGATTATAATATGATTTGCATGTCATTATGCCCACCCAACCACTCTGTCTTTCTTTCGTACCCCTTCAGGTTTGACACCACCTACCACGCCTCCACACAAAGCCAGTCAAGAGAATCCTTTCAAAGCATCACTGAAAACCAAGTTGTCCTCGTGTTGCTCCTCGGCCTTGACGTGCAAAAGAGCCAGGCTGAGTGAGTTGGGTGCCGGAGCTTCGGCCCTGGCCCCAGGTGCCTCAGCCGGGGGCCCCGCCAAGAAGGGTCCTGAACAGACTGAGCTCTATGCGCAGCTGAGCAAAGCATCCATCGCCCTTCCTTACACCATTGCTCAATGTGCAGTGGGGGGCGAAGTTGAGGGACACTTCAGCACTGGGAACAATAAGAAGGCCGCTGGGCAAGATGGCCACAGTGACCATGACTATTGCCATGTACTGGCTGCCAGTAAGAAGGATGGGGGCACAGCAACTGTTTCCATGGCTACATCTATGGAAATGACATTCACCCCAGGTGCCATCTCCACTGGCAAGGAGGGGAACAGGCACACAGAATGTATGGACTCAGCCATGTCAACATCTTTTCTACCATCTTCAGGTTCTACACCATCAATCTCAATTTGTGATTTGACTAAAGAGCAGAATTTTGTCCAACTGGATGGAAACACTTGCTCTGTAAGGGACATAGGGGAGCATACCCATCCTCAAATCACTCAGATGCTCACACAGGGGGCCACTGTTGTTAGGGACCAATTGCCACCTTCTGCCACCAGCCGGAAGCCCCTGTGTGACCAGGAAATCAGAGCAGAACTCAACAAGCACTTTGGCCCTCCCCTACAAGCTCTCTTTACTCAGGGTGAGCAGGAGAGAATTGAAAGCAGTAAACCAAACAAGCCTACAACCCCCCAATCCCCTGAGGGGGGTGAAATTGACTTTTACTCCCAGAGGCTGTCAGGATCCAGCTACCTGCACCCAGGGTTACTGTCCTTTCATGATGAGCTCGAGCTGGACGAGGATCGTGATAATCGCTTTGTCTTTCCATGGGAGGGTACCCATCTGGACTTTCTATTTGACTGCCCTCCCCGTTCTCCCTCTTGTTCTCCACCATCCACATGCTCCCCTTCACGAGGTTCAATCTCCCCAACATCTTCCCTTCTCCTGTCACCTGGCCGATCGTTCTGCTGGAATGGCAGTGGGTCCCGTTCCCGCTCTCGGTCCCACTCTGGCTCCCGCAGTTCCTCATCACGATATCGCAGGCGCTCTCTGTCCAGCTCACCAGACAGGCGCCCCTCCTCTTGGTATGTTGTCTTTTAGTTTATGTTGGTATAGTTTTTAAAAGGAAAAATCATACTTAGGAATATTGTGACAATAACTCATGGAAGGAAGTACACAGATTTATAAATGATAGACTGCATCCACAATTGTGACAGTGCAGTGCCAGATTTTGTGCAAAGAAATTGAAAGCTGTACTGGTTGATTATTTTTGTAACTCTGGCTTATTGATGTCTCTTGACCAAATTGTAAGTAATGTCGATTATGGCTTCTGTTTTTAATGTTTACATAATATTGTTGTGCATTGTATTTTATTTGAAGGTTTTAGATAACACAATAATGGTTCATATTAATGAGTACATAAAGCCAAAATAGTATTTGCACCAACAGAGTCTGATGCTGTGGTTGGATTGTGGACTTATTAAAATCTATTAAGCATTCAATACAGATATTGATTTTGGATTAGTATCTCCACTATTTTCTTATTAATATCTTAGGGTTTTAGCAACCAGTGATGGATGTTTTGTGGTGGCTTAGTATTGAATAAATTCTACAGCTCCTCAGCTTTGCTATGGAACAAAGTTTGTACCAGCAGTTTGTTATTTGATTACATGAGATAAAGAAATCTGGAGCCAAGAAAGCTATAGATGGTCCAAGAGGTCTCTGATATTCAGATGTCCTTTAATGGTAAAAAAAAGAAAATAAGTCCATACACACTAACACATTTATTATACTCGCTCCTCAGATGTACTGTTTAGGGCTTTGTGATGGCAGGCGATCCAGTTTAGCAGCTTAACAGTCAGCAATCCAGAGTACTGTAAGGCCAGATAGGCCTTAAAGTCTCTTTAATGGGATTTTTTGAGGGTACTTGTTTCTATGAATATGTATGGCATAAGAAAAACATTAGTCTTAGACCTTTTTTGAAACTTTGCTCCTTCTTAGAAAAATAAAACTTGCTTTTATTCCCTCTCCTAGCCTCTCCTAATGTGTCAATTGTTGCCCCCTCCTGTGTTTATCCTTAAACTGATCCTAACCCTCTTGTCTACTGGTGTCACACTAACCAAAGTAACCCCTTATAGCAGGCTTCTCTTAGATCGATTTTGACAATGTGGGTAAAAAAAGAACCCTCTCAAAGGTACAGTCACTAATGCAGGATGAACAAAGATGAATGAAATAGAATAACATGAAAGGTGCTCTGGACTTGATTTTTCATCTCTAGGCAGGGAGTTTTATTTGATTGTCTCTCTCCTACACTCCCTTCTTACCACTGACTCCCCTGCTCCCATTTTTCATGAATTTATTTATATATTTTTCTCTTTACTGTCTGATGCCAGGTCTATTGTCTTAAGAGGCAGCTGTTGTTTTTACTGAGGATCAGAAACCTTCCCTCTTTTGCATCTCTGGAGATAAAAGCCAAATCCAGTCTGGGGGAATAAAGTCTCAAAACCCTCTCTCAGAAGAGAGCCCTATCATCATAACCCGCTTTAAAAACTACATTACCCATGTCTCTCTTTCATCCATGCCAAGGGAGTTTTTCTTTTTTTTTTTTTTTTCTCTTCTTGGTTAGCAAAACAGAGGCAGAAAGTTGTGACAGAGAATGTTATGAATAAATTGAGTTTGTCAGTGGCGCTTCATTGAGTAGCTCCTAGTGTCGAACTCTACTGCAGTGACTCACTTTGTTTGCATGATTACTAAAAGGTCAGCTTACTCCACTGAGCCACTAGATTCACTTTATCTTTTTAAGGCCTTTGCTTTTCATACTACATCAACTTGCTTGTAAATTATACTGTAATAGCCTCAAGGCATTTGATCAAAATCTGGCACAAAAAGAGTTGGAGTATATGAAAAAAAAGTAAGTTAACAGAGGGAAACTGTTGCTCTTGCATTAATGTTTATTCGCTTTACTGTAGTGTGTCCTGATGATTTATTAGTCAAACGCTCATGATAATCTTTGTTTCTTTTTTTTTGCTGTAGCAAATAACTGCAGTTCCCCAAAGAGTGTTATCTAGTTATCGCTTTGTCTCATTTTTCTAAACGGTAGTTAATTTTAACCGTTTAGATATATATCAAACTGAAAACTGTAGTTTATGCCTTGACATGCAAAGAAGTTTTTAAAGCAGGGAAACAACTTTTACTGTAAGTTCTGAAACCACAGACAATATGTCATTGGCTGAATTATTGACAAAGCTTATCAAAACTAGAGGGAGGCAGCTGACATTTCTGCAAAGCAATCCCTAAAAAAAAAGACCCGTGGCCATGATAATTACCATACTTTCTAAATTCATTTTTGGGTCTTGTTTTTTTGTTCAGACAGTAGTTCAGAATGTAAATGAACGTTGTGAAAGTCTTAGCTAGATTCTAGTTAAACCATTGCATTAAAACATAGCAGCTTTCTAAAACCCATCAAAAGCAGAGAAAACTGTCCTGAAACACTATGAAGAACAAATAGTGTTGACTATCAATAAAAAACTCCTTCATAAAAAGGTTTGTAAGACTATATTTTTAATACTGATAAAAAAAAAAATAGTTGTTTGTAGTTCTGAAATGTTTTAATTAGCAAGTGCTATTTTAAGCTTGCTCTTTGAAAACCCATTTTTAAAATTAACTTTAATAACTTTGGGTTATTTTTCTACTACATTATTGAAGCTGTATTTATCCATCACATAATAATAACTTCTTTGATTAAGGATAGTAAAAAAAAAACATAGAACAGAATTTGAGGTGAAAAGAAAAGAGAATAAGATGAATTTCATGTGGCACTACTGGCTTCAGAAATACTACCGGTACCATAAAAGATTACTGTGTTTTTATTTTATACCATTTTTAGCACTAACACTGGGAGGTGAAAAAGTAGAGGGTGCTGTAGCTTGTTTTAACTAACCTGCTCTCTAAAGAAGCATACCTTTGCTTCCTAAACTTCTCCTTTTCTATTATTTAGTTGTTCCTCCTTCAGGAACATTTCAATAATTGAGCACCAGAAGCTCAAGGAGAGAAGGCGGAAAAAACTCCACAGTCAGGCTACAAGGGTCTAAACTATTGACCACATCTTCATACAACATAGATAGCAGGCCCATGTCTTTTCCAGATCAGGTGTGTTAAAAAAAAAAAGAAATCAGCAATAAATGATGAACATTTACTGTTGTCATGAGTTACATGAAAGCTAGGTGGTATAAAAAATGGAGTTGAAAGATTCTGAAGATGGCATATTAAATCAAACCAGGTGCCAATGAAGACAGCAGATTTTATTTTAATCGAAAGTAATGTATTTGGATAGAGAGTAATGTCTTAACACTTTGCTTTCCCTTCAGGTCTCATCATACCTCCGATCTCAATGCTTTCCGCTCCAGAATCCATAAGAGCCCCAACCCTCAGTCTCGATCTCTGCTCAGCCGCAGGCCAAGGTAATTATTTTATATGAATTATTTAGCCCTCTTGTTTAATATACATTTTTAACCTTAGCTCAGTTGTATGCCTCGGGTAAGGGAAAATGTTTAATGTGTGCAGATTTCTCTGGGAAAATTGCTGGGATTTATGATGGTATGAGAAAAAAATTCAACAGGAGAGTTTAATAATTATTTTGTTATTTGCATTTAGTGTGCACATACTTTACAAACACAACTAGAATAATCAAAACAGTGTAATGACAGCATCAAAACATTGAGGTGCCTAATTTAGCAGGACAAAGAAGATGATGAAAGCTGATCGGATAATTCTTAGAGTTAAATGTACAGCAATCCTGGCAGAAAAGTTGTTAGAGACAGAAGTCGTTAGAGACAGCCCAGGGAGGATCACTTTCCTGGAGGACAATGACCTTAAATATACAACCAGAGGTACAATAAAATTGTTCAGATTAAAGATTATTAGAGCTTTAAAGGGACACATAACGATCCAGTCAAAGTCCAGATCCATATCTAATTAGAAATTTATGATAGGACTTAAAAATCAGCTAATGAACATTCATCCTCCCAGCTCTTTGCTGATATGTCTCCTAATAAATGCATTTGTAGTTTTCTAAGAATCACAGCAGAAGGGTAGGATTTCATATGCTGAGAAGTACTGGCATAAACTGACCCAATCTCAGAACCCAATCTGAACTGATTTGGCAATGAGATCCCAATAACACTTGACAAGTATAATAGTTATCAGTGGAAAACTTAGCAAACATGTCTTGTAGAAGCCTAGGTTGTTTGGATGACAGTAGCGCTTTCCCTTATGATGAAGCCCTAACTAAGCAGAAAGTAATGACATGTGAAGATGTGCTGACAGCGGCAGATGCTTGCGTCCCCAACTGTGCTGCTCGCCCGGCGTTCCCGCGGGCCCATCCTGTGGAGGCTTCGGCTTCTCGGTGGCAGTAAAAAGACATCTTAATGATTGTCCATCTCCTTCACCTTGCAACAAACTTCTCTGGAATTGCCAGATGTGTCCTTGGCAGATACTGGCGATTGTACCTCATGAGTACGGGCAGACACGCTGCTGTTTATGTGGTGGGGAATAAGGGGGAGGAGTTATCAAAGTCAGACACATCTTCTCTCCTGTACAGATATGACAGTTATGAAGAATACCAGCATGAGAGACTTAAGAGGGAGGAATACCGCCTGGATTACGAGAAGCGGGAGTTTGAAAGGGCCGAGCAGAGGGAGAAACAAAAGCAAAAAGCAGTGGTGAGTAAATTTACACATCTCAAGTTACATTCCCTGTTTTTTTAAGCTTTATTCGACTTCATCTTCCTGGAACAACACTGATAAAAGAGCACATAATCAGTACAGTGGCACAGCCCACAGAAACCTCCCACAGACACACATTACTGAGATGAGACACCCTCCAGCCCTCTGCTACGTGCCAGAGCATCTCTCTACTGAAGAGAATACATACAAACTAAATTTCTGAATGATTCAGGCGACAGGCCCTTCCTCTTTATCTCTGGATTGCGTGTTTTTAACAGTTCTGTTGTCTGGAAACACTGTCCACTCCTATTAATCACACCACGGGGTACAATGTGAAAATAGCACCAAGAACAGGAAGGAAGCAAAATGTTCATAGGTTTTTTGGGGGGGATTTTTTTCTCTTTTTGTATCTATTACACAATTCATCACATTTCACTAAACATTGCATTTCCCCCTCATCTAACCCCCTCTCCTTGTCTCAGGGGGAATTATTCAGCTTTCAGGAAGGCTGACAAAGCTACCACCCATTGATAAAACACACATTAAAATGATACAGTAATGCGAGCTCAGGCTCAGCATGCTTGGAGTCTTTTTTAGAGATGGAGAGACAAATAGTAATGAACAGTCCAGCTCCAACTGTCAAAGACAGTTTGTACAAAAGTAGATAAAAAAAAGCACCCTATCGAGTCTCTGTCATGCTCAGTCTACTTTACCCTCTACATATATATATATATATATATATATATATATATATACATATATATATATATATATATATATATATATTAAATATATATATACATATATTTATATATACACACACACAGTATAGAGTAGAAGTTTGGACACACCTTCTCATTCAAAGAGTTTTCTTTATTTTCATGACTATGAAAATTGTAGATTCACACTGAAGGCATCAAAACTATGAATTAACACGTGGAATTATATAATTAACAAAAAATTGGGGAAGAACTGAAAATATGGCTTATATTGTACATTCTTCAAAGTAGCCACCTTTTGTTTTGATTACTGTTTCGGACACTTCTCTTTATGAGCTTCAAGAGATAGTCACCTGAAATGGTCTTCCAACAGTCTTGAGGAAGTTTCCAGTGATGCTTAGCACTTGTTGGCCCTTTTGCCTTCACTCTGTGGTCCACACCAAACCATCACCAGACCTGAATCCAGGTCCGGTGATGGTGATTGTGGAGGCCAGGTCATCTGGCGCAGCACCCTATCACTTTCCTTCTTGGTCAAATAGCCATATGAATATATATATATGTATATTTATACATGAAATATATCATATATAAATATATATGATATAGACTTAGTTTGGAATTGTGAGCCCAAAGAATGGGCCATAACCAGAGCAGAAAAAAAGAAAAACATTGTAAAACTCCAAGAAACAAGACACTTTCTCAAAATTAGCTCCAAAACACTGAATAGGATTTAGGTTACATGGTTGGTTAAATATATATACTCTCCAAGGACGAAATCTGCACTATGCTGAGGCAAACCAGAAAGACATCAGAAATTACTGTCATCAAAGGGGTTTGAAGGAGATGCTGTTGACAAGGACATCTGTAGCAAATGCCATGGACACCAGTGTGAAACCATGGCACATAACACATACAAAAACCATTTGAAATGGCAGTTTACATTTATAAGCTTTCACAAAACCTCCTAAATTATTTAAACAGTACTAGTGAAAATACAAACCTTTGGGCAAAATCCAAACTTTGAAGGGATTGGCTCTCAAATTTAACAACAGGCAGTTTGCGTTGGACTTTCTACAAGCAAGCTTTACAACAAAGACAAATAACTTAAACGTTCCCTGGGCCATAATATCAATCCAGTGTGAATAGTAAGTTGACAATAACAAAGGCCTACCTCATTAGATGAAACAAAATCCATCTGCTGGTCTTTCTTTGTGAAGTGAGCAATGGTAGGATCATATAGTTTGTCCTTTGACTAGAATTCCATAAGAAGCCCTTTCTCTATGGACATCAGTGCCAGTAATGTACCTGACGTGAGTCTTTATGTGCTTCTGGGCACCTTAAAAGGCCTATCCACTTGTTAATTTTTTTTCTTTTAAATCTAATTCTGGAGTTGGTCATCCGATTTGTATGATTTGCTGCTTTTCTTGACACACTGTATGCAAACATCACTTTTGAGTTTGATGTTAAAATTCGCTTACAGTGTTTTAAACAGCAAGAGGTTGAAGAATGTACTAAGTAATTGCAATAAATGATAATATTGAGGTGCTTAAGGTTTAGAAATTATTTAATTTGAACATGAAATCAAAACTAATCAATGGCGATAACTGCTGACTGTTGCAGGTTTTTCCAAATTACTTCAGCTTGACCTCTATGTAAGCTCTGAAATGAAGGGATATCCTTCTTTGCATCAATCTATTGCTGCATTTCACTTGTGTATAAAATGTTTTCAAAAGGATCAAAGCGTTTTAGTGTGAAAAATAGAATTTCTGTATCTTGCAACTAACGCTGGCTTTTCTGATTTATGATTCAGTCACCCTGTGGCTTTATTTTTAGACTTACCAAAAGAGGAACCAAGCCAAAAAACTTAAGACGCGGCATCATTTGATAAAAATCATTCTGCCTCGGGTTGATGAGTTGCGGAGAGAAAAGAGGAATTGTGGTGTCAAGGTAGATTGAAGGCGCTTCCGAACTGCTACTCCCATCAGATAAGGAAGCAAACAGACAGATGGAGAGGGGGAATGAAAACAGGGGCCCAGAGTCAGCAGCAGTATCCACAGGAGTGATCAAGACCAATTCATTTAAGCCCGGTGAAGAAAGAGAAGGGGAAATGAAAAAAACTGTTCCCCTCCCCCAGCACACCACCATCTTTTAATCTCTTTGCGCCGTCTCTGTCTTGCTGTTTTAACGAGCAGGAGGAAAGACGGGTGGTGTATGTGGGGCGACTGAGGTCCGACTGCAGCCGCTCAGAGCTGAAGCGCCGCTTTGAAGTCTTTGGGGAAATTGAAGAATGTGCAGTGAACCTAAGGGACGATGGGTAAGCTCTAGGATTTTTACAGCATTACAGTGCATTTTAACTGTAGTCTGGCATTGGTTTCGGCTAATTTGGTGACATATTTTTAAGAGTTCCTAACTAAATTAATTGCTCAGTGCCATTGCCAAACTTAATTGCAACGGACAATGACAGAGCTTTGCAATACACAGTTTCTCCTGACTCATCTTTGTACTGAAGAAACACCTGTATTGATTCGTTTTTGCATATAAATAGCATGATTTTTATCTAAAACAAAACCCTCTGTCGAATCATTGCTATCCTATGGGAACATCTGACCCTTTTTCTATTTTTTGACCAGGGACAATTTTGGCTTCATCATGTACCGTTACACCTGTGACGCCTTTGCCGCCCTTGAGAATGGACACACCCTCCGTAGATCAAATGAGCCTCAGTTTGAGTTGTGTTTCGATGGACAAAGGCAGCTCAGTAAATCACAATACACAGACTTGGGTGAGTTCCTCTTTTTAAAGGTTTTCCACAACCAGCTATGCAACATGTTTGTCTAGAAGGCTGTCATTAAGATAACACATAAATAATGCGGGGAAGTGGTAAAGTAGAATTAAGTGATGCTTCCATTTCCAACCATAGCCCTTTTCATTCAGTTTAGAACGTCCCACAAGGCCTCAAGGCCAAATCAGCCTGGGAAAATGCAGAGAATGAAGCTCAGTCCCCCCCCCCCTCGTATCTGTGGTATTTTTAGCAAAAGGAACGATATCTCATCACTCACTCGGACATAGGAGAGATGCTTTTGCTTTTTTCAAAGTTAGAGAGCAAACACAGCACCTAAAAGCATTGGCAGCTTAATGCACTGATAGATACACAAACGTAGGAATCCCTTTAGGAATTTTGAGGAGGAAAATTAAGTGGAAAATATTAAAGAAAAAGAAAGACTAGCAAAGAGCTGAGGTAAGATGGATGGATGTGAGGAAGGTATCAGCAGTTTTTAAGTCCATCTGCTTTCAATACAGCACGGACGATGTTCATTTATCCAGTCACCCTAGCAGCAAGATACTTATGCCTACATATACCCTACCACCTTTTCAGGCTGTGTGGGTCTCATGGCATATTGTAGGATATCAATATTCATGTAATTCCTTCAGGTAAACATACACAAACACTCATACATAGGTGTAACTAGAAGGAATATAGCATACAGTTGACTCATGCATTTGATAACATTTGATAAATAATGAAAGCAAGCAGTAAAATCAAGGAATTTTTTTTTCCATTCACGTGTCCTACTTTTGACACATGCAAAAAGTCATGTACCTCTTTCTCTTCTGATGGTTCTCCAGTGCCTAAAGATGGGCCTGCTTCTGTTGAAACCAGAAATGTTTTTAGGATTGTATAAAAGATTCCTTTGGTTTCAGGTTAAATCAAAGGAAATGTGCCATGTTTTAGCATCATTTGGATGACTGGCAATATGCATTTTTTTTCTAAATGTCAAAAAACGAGGGAGATAACTTTTTTTTTTTTATTCAGAGGTTTTAGAGCTGTCTTTTAACCTGGTCTGCGACCAAGCTTCTCATAATAGTTAGCTAAATGGTTTTCCAGTTTCTCCAGAAATGGAATAACTGTTTGAGGATTTGGGGGATTCCCAGCTCTTGCATATCTTTACAGGCCCACAAACTTTCTGAGACTCAGTTTATGTCTTTCTGATATTTAAAGAACTGATTTGGTGATATGAATAAGTCTTTGTCTAATTAGAACACTATTTCCTACACCCCCACCTTAACTATTTGGCTAATGTCTTGAGATTCTGGCCGTTTCTCTATATGTGTACTTGTGCGTTCTTATGTGCTCGTGAAACGTCATCAGTCTCAGCCCTAGCACTGTTCCAATTCACAAGAACACAAGACTGAGAATAGAAAAAAAAAACATTGGATGTTGTTCTCGCGCCTCCCTCTTTACCAAGTATGCATCGGAGCAGACATGTCTGTTCTTGATAGACAGCTGTCCCATAATGCACCAGCAGCAACAGCTTCCGGTGGCACGCTCACAGAGCTCAGAGTATTAACTGAAAAGTTCTCTTTTCTTTTAATAAAAGAAAATTTTTTAAAAAGTACGTTTTAAGACATTTAAGGCGAGAACATTATACTTTAGGCGCCACAATATGGTCCGTTTACTGATTTAGTGGTAATAAAAACAAAGTTGCAATGTTGAGAGTACCGCGGAAACCACTGGACCTCCGAGGCTAATAGCAGCCAGGGCTAATTTTAGTCCGTCTGCAGCGGCCCTCTCTCGGCATAGCCGTGTGTGAAGTACCAATGGCTCTAATGGTGATTATTTTGTTTTATTTGGCAAAATGTTAATTTTATCTGAGTGTGTTCATTATTATTCCTCCGTAAGAACTTATGATTATCTAGAGACTATTAATAACAGGAGGTGAAATGCAGGCTGTGGTGATGTCACCAGTACACTTCTGGTCCAATTGACCCATATTTATGCTGCATGCTCCCGTTCTCCCAGAGTCCACACTTTCCTGTGTTCTTCTCAAGAACATACTTGGTGAGGACACGAGTCCATGCTTGTGTTCTTGTGAATTGAGAAACGGCCTCTGTCTCAGTATTTTGCAACGTTTACCTGTCCATCTTGCACCAAACACATATTAAAATGCAACATCCAATATTTCGCCTTCTGATGATATCGGGCTTGCGAGCCTCCTACTGTTTCTTTTAAATGTAATGATTGTCAAGGCAGCAAAACACTTCTATTTTAGTTTTATTAGACCACGAGACATATCTATAAAGATTATAGTTGTTTGAACAGGTTATCAGCTAAATGTAATATGAGTTTTTATGTTGTATTCAAACTGATGGCTTCTTCCTCTTCAAGTAGCCTTTCAGACCATGCAGACAAAGGATTTATTTGACTGTGGATTATGATTTCAGACAGGATCTTGAGATTTTCTGCTTTAGTTCTGATGTTGGTACACACTTTCACACTTAAAACAAGATAACATTAGTTCTCTTGGACATAAAAGGTTTCCCCTATTGGATGTGAAACATTGCCTTGCTGTTTATACTTTGTTTGAATTAGGCAAAGAGAGAAATTGGATGACTTTAGAACTTCCGGCATTGCAACAAAGGATAAGGAAAATATATCGAGGTCCACAGTCTTCTCTCAGATATTTTAGTTTATTTCTTTAGAAATTTACCCACAATGTCACTCAAAGAAGAAGTACTATTCAGTTGTTTCCTTAGGGTGCATTGTCACTACTGTTTGGTTTTAAGATCATTCCTGGCATTGGTGAAAGTGCAAAGATTAAAAATTTTCATTGGCCCGGAGCAAGCACAGAAAAGGAGCTAAATGTAATCACAGAGCTGTGCAAGAGCTCAGCTGGCTGAGCAGTTTGGCAGAGTTAAATGTGCACCAGAAAGATATTAAATGACCATATGTGAGATTTAAACGCTTCAGACCAGTCTGACTGCGTTCTCAGATTGGTAACTGTGCTCTGAAGTTGGTGGTGCAAACAGCATGGCATATTATAGCAAACAGCATGTCATCCCATAACTGCATATCGTCCCTTAATCTTTTACTGGTACACAGTACTGGACCATTTAAGTTTACTTTGAGTACTGATTGTTACCTACCTAACACAAGAAAGGTTTAGTCTTTTTCAATGTGAGACAATAATACAATTTTCTTTCTCTCTACACAGTGAAGAAAATGTTTCTTTAAACCTTATGTGAAACATTACTATTTTCAGTTTTCACTCTGTAGCAAAAGGCCATCCTTCCATTTGACGATGAAATCTAAGATAAGGATTGACATTTTCGGATGACAGTAACTCTCAGAAATCTAAATCACCACAATATAAGTCCATGGGTCAAAAGACAGAAACAGGGCATTTTCCTAAATGAATGCTGCAATTCCAAAGCTTTTCCAGCCATTAGCCTTTTTTTATAAAGAGAATCTGACAAAAATAAACAGCTGTTTATCCCAAAGCCTTGAGGACAGATATTGTGTCAAAATTTCAATCTGTTGAAATAGAATGGTCTCCATTCAACTACCTCGGTGTCAAGAGTAGACTGTTTTACATAGCACATGTTAAAAAGATTGAGCGGCATTTTATATTACTGGGGTACCAAAACTTCTTCCCATTAATTCTTTTTTTTTGTTTGTCTTTGTGACAGTGTCCATTAGTTTTGAGGAGCACGCTAGGATATTTTTCACCCCTCAAGGTGTGCGGCGAGACACAATTCAGCCCTCGGCCAATGCATTAGATCAAGCCTGGCGTCTCGTAGCTGCCACGGTCGTTCCCATTTCTCAAAGCTCGTGGAGTGTGCTGCTGGGCCCTGTAGGGGCCCCATTTGTGAAGCTGTCTGTTGGGTCAGATAAGATACCCTTTATATATTATCAGGTCGATCAAGAAAAACAGTACATACAGGAGACTATTTTGATACTGTTGCCTCTCTCCAAGTTTCAGGCTTTGCTCTAGATATCCAAAATCTGTACCATCGTTGCATGTAATTAAATGAGCCAGCTGTAACAAAAAACTGAACGTAAAACAAAAACAATGTACTTTGCTACCTGAGGCTTTGTTATCTCACCTTTCCTAGCTTCTTTAATTTTTTTTGTCCCTTGGTCTTTTTGATTGTTTTTAAGAAATATTTTACATTCCTTAATCCAATTTTAGTCCAGTTTGTGAAAATGACAATAACAGTTGATTTGGGGCCTGAGTTGTAGGCAATACGTAATTTCACAGTCATAATGTGTCAATTCTTACCTGCATGGGGGACATCTCATACCAGCCTTGATGGGATCAGGGGTCATAATCGTTTAAATTCTGTAAGCTCTAAATTTGAATCTGAACTACAATCTGGGGAAATAAGATCCAATACAAAAACCCTGAGAACGGTTAATAGTTAGTTTCTGCTAGGGCTGCTCTGCTATTCACAAGTGCATGGAAAACATTAAGTTGTAGGGGTAAGAAACCACCTACAGCAGCTAAACAGTATTTTTGACTTAGGTTTTTCAGAAAAAGGGTTAAAAAAAATCCATCAAAGACTAGACAGACCAGAGAGATCTCTCTTCATTTCCTTTATAATAAATGGTAGGCCAGGGTTTTTATGTAAGAAATATTTTGGAATCACCTTGTTGGGACTTCTACAATTAAACCTAATCCAGCCTAAACCCACCCTAAAAAAAATGACAATTTAACCCCAGATAAGCCCTTGATGTCTAGCATTTATGTTGAAAATAGTAAAAATCCACACTTAAGAGCACACATGCTAATTTAGTAAACTTTATAGCATGTTGGAAACACATTTTAGTGTTTGAACCTATAACTATGTGTTACTCATTGACATCAGTTTTACTTTTTTACTGCAGCTGATCTGCGGCCAGACAGAGTATATAGTATGTTGATGATTAACCTGCAATTTAATAAGGTTTTCTTTTAACTCTTTATGATTTTGTGGAAGTTAAGCCTCACTGCAATGGACAAATAAGATTGTAGTTTAACATTGCAAGACCTTTTTTAGACAAAGACTCTGGAGGTCAGTTGTTAGTTTCAGTGTCCTGCCTGACATTAACCTCAACCTTTGTACTCTCCCTCCTCCTTTCCAGACTCCCATTCGGATGACTTTGATCCAACTTCCACGAAGAGCAAATATGACTCCATGGATTTTGACAGCCTGCTGAGAGAGGCCCAGCGCAGCCTGAGAAGGTAACCAGCTCCGGGGCGCCCGATGTCTGTGTCACAAAGAGGAACTTCTTATACCTCAACGTCGTTTCTCGCCTCATCAGCGATGAGACCACCAGAAGTTTTATGCTCTGTCAAAGAGCTCCTGAGAAGAATTCTATAGACCTATATCAAAATAAATGAATATATTAAGAATAAAAGTTTACATGAACATAGCTGCTCAAGAGCTGGGAAGAAACATTTCATCCTGGGAATGCCAGTCAACTCTCAAACTTGGATGCACTCTACTGCTGTAAAACCAGTTAAAAGAAGAAGGAAAGACTTTTTGATTTCCTTTTTTCCAAGCACTAAAATACCTACATTTTTTTTAAAGTGAAAAACAAGCAGTTCTTTCAGTCAGATCTGTTTCCTTTGCTCCTGATTTTCTTTTGACTCTTTTAAGTCTGGTATTTTGGATCTGGTGTTACATTACAAACAGGAAAGTGAGACAAGTGAGTTTTGAAGGTAAAATTCAAAAAGTAACATTGTGGTCTACATTTTAAAGGAGTAATGTAGCTGTGTATTTACAAATGCTATTAAAAAAGGACTATTTTTATTTTATGTACATATCAGAGTTCTTTATTTGTTACAGCTATGCACTGTAAAACGCAGCCTTTTTTTAAAAAAAAAAGAGAAAATTTCTTAATTCAGAATGTTGATCTGTAGTAATTACAATACTGTTAAACATATTGTACACCTACATGATGTTTAGAAGACATGATATGATTGTAAAAAAAAAAAAAAAAAAGAAAGAAAAAATTAAAAAAAGACATGTCCAATTGCTCATTTTGTGAGAGCATGTGAACAAATGTTCCTTTTTTTAGTTCTTTTGTTTTGGTGGGGGAAAAACTGCGAAACCATGTATAGTTTTATGTGTTTATAAAGTTTGTCAATCAGTGTTTTTGCCTAAGCAACCAGTCTAAAATACATTTTTAAGGTGTTTTTCATGATTGTTCCACATTTTTAACCATCACCCATCATTACATAATATATTTGTTCTTTTTCTGGGGTTTAAAAGGTGATTACCCTTGATAGAGTAAACAGCCAATCAGCACAGATATATTTATGTATTTATTTTAATATTTGAATCAAAGTATATTTATGGGCTCCATTTTAAAATGGTGTACCTTATTTTTTTTTCCTATTTATGTCTCATGTTAACTGATTTTTGTTATTTAACTTGCAATCACTAGACAGGGTGTACAGTAAATAACGCTTTGGTGGGAGTGTTATTACCTTCTATGCCTTCCGAAACAATCAAGCTTATCAGTCCAGCCCCTCATTCTTTTTTCAGGATTGACTTTGTTTGGTTCACTTGTTTTTAATAAGTTACAGATGACATGAAGCAATAAAATGATTTTATAGAAATTTTGTTGCGAAAACTTAAATATTGCCATCATCACTCCGCTCATGCTTGATTATGTGAATGCCAAACTAAAGTTTACAATTTTCCTTTTCCTGAATTTTATAAAGATCTTGTATTTGATGTAAAACATGTATACCACTGATATTATTCACACTAATAAAAAATGACAATAGTGGCGATTATGATCAAAATTAAAGAAAAAAATTAATGTAAAAAAAAAAAAGCAATAAATTATTTTTCAGAGTTGTATTTTAGCTCCTAATGTTGTGCGATTTTTAGGACTTTGACCCATTACCCAGTCGCTGGAGTAGTTAATACTCATCCACTACCCCTCCTCTTCAAGATGTAGCTGAGTCTCTGTGATTGTGACATACGCATTTCCTTGTGACATCTGTGCAAATGTGACTGACTCTTTAACTCCACCCCGTGTGTGTAAAAACATGCCCAGTCAAAGCTGATTGTTGTATGTTGCATGGCTATTTGAGGACAGCGGCTGGTTTAAAGCCTAAAATGTATTTAAATACATTCTTTTCAGCTGTCTGAACTGGCACAGTTTTTAAATTTGTCGTTCCAAAAGCCAAAAGAAACTCTCTTTAACATGCTGCTACCGCAACAACTCAACCCTCCCCTCCCCTCCCTTGTCCAAGTCCAGAAATCACAGCGCCGTCAACGTGACATGAAAGGTAACCTTGCGGTTTCTGGTTCAATTAATATCCTGTTTTTAGCAAGAGCCAAGTAATGAGAAAACCAACTATAAAAGCTTAGCTGATCACAGGCTCCCTTTCATGGAGTTTGACTCGGAGACAAGAAACAGTTAATTTTAATGATGCAAAAAGGCAAAAATTGGTTGAAGGATGTAAAAAAAAAAAAATCCCTTTACCTTTTTTTATGATAATGCTTAGCTCTTTTCTTTTTGCTGTATGTATAGCGTTTGGGTAATGGTGTCGTGTCCCACTTCATAGATGTGGCTTTAATCATTGTAATAAAAAAAGTAAAAATGCTTTGTAAATTGCTTAGAGTAGCAATATATTACAACACCTCCAAGTTCAAATTACAACTTTGGTGGGCTTTTTTTTTTTATGAAAGGAGCCGTTGAGTTTGTTGCCACTGCTTAAACATTTGTTTTGTAATCACGTTTCTTTTGGAAGGACGATAATGTTCATTGGTAAGTGTGTATGTGTCTAAAGGTGTGATTGGAGGGATGTATGTGTGTTTTTTTGTGTGTGTTTTCTGAAAAGGGGTTAGGGGTTGTCGCTACCTGTTTGTGTCCTATTCACGTTGCCTTCTGCCAAGTCCTTACCAATGCCTTTGTGGTTCTACCTACTGTACGACTTTCTTGTGACTTTTATTTTATATGTGCAATTCTCATCAGCCTCACCATGCCAATAAAGGGAAAATGTGTTTGAAAAACTGTCTATCCATGAGCGTGTTGGCTGTCATATTTATTCTGTGCGTCTTAATGTCCTTGTTCTTTTGATTTTAAGAACCATTTTGATTCAGTCTTGTTTGTTTTCTTCTTGAGGGGGATGGGTACATTGAAACCTATGACATTAACTAAATTTAAACATTTCCAGATAATATATATTTTTTAACTCACTTTTGGATGTTGTGTTGTAATAATATGGAAAAAAACACACACACACAAAACAGGCAATATAATTGATGTTATTGTAATGTGTGCCTAAATCACTTTACGAAGCCAAAAAAAACAAAAAAAATCTGATGAGTTGATGCGTTGGAGTGTGATGCCTAGTGTTTAGGGCAAAGAGCTTGGAATTCGGAGGTTCTGGGTTCGAGCCCCACTCCCACAAACTGCCACTCTAGGTCTCTGAGAAAGACCATTAACCACACACTGCTCCCCGGGCGCCCAATGATGGCAGCCCACTGCTCCCCAAGGGGATGGGTTAAATGCAGAGGTAAATGTATCCAATGTGAGAACAATAAAGTTCAATTATTATTATTTATTAAGGTTAAAAACCAATCCAAGCGAAACTTGCTCGGAAACTCTTTCTGTGCCATCCTTCCCTGTGCCTGATCCTTTTGAGTTTTTTAGTTTGATTTAGACAAATGTTCTAGAACACTAAGAAGAAATTTTAGCCATCTTTTCCTTGCATTACCTTTTTATTTGCTGCATGATGTAGGAATGTTAGCTATAAATAGCCTGCTTAAAATCAAGGCTCAGCTTTTCAGTTGGATCTAGACTGTGTGGATTCCCATTAGCTGAAATCTCTCGCAATCAGCTAGTCTTCCTGAGGTCCAATTCTAAAACGCGACACATTGTTTTATATACATTTTATCACAAAACTAGAGACTGATTTCAAAACTGTAACAAAAAAAAATGTCAACCAAACCACACATGAAATGTAAGAGAATACAGCAATATTATCTTGGTAGTTGTAAAATTCCAAAAATACCACAAATTCATAATAATAACACAAGATTGTTCTGAGACGGTGTACAATTCTTTCAATAACATTATTATTTTTCTAAAATCATTCATTTAAAGGCACAACGTTTAATTTTTGGCCATTAGGGGTGCTAGACCTGTAACTGCCTGTATTTTGCTTCTACTGCATTGTCAATGAAATTCAAACTCACTCTGGATGTTACTGGAGAAATACCTTATATAGTAATAGAATATTATAATATTATATATATATATATATATATATATATATATATATATATATATATATATATATATATATATACCCTAAAGCGATTTAAGATCATGAAGATGTTTTCTTTTTTAAATAAACATAAGGCTGCCCTTTACTATTATGTGATTTTCAGACTAGAATGCTTCCATAAAGTAACCAAAAAAAAGGGTGATTTTCTTGAGACTCCCTAAATGAGTTTCAGTGGTCTTTTTGGCTAATTTCCCACACCTGGAAAAGATGACTATTCTGCAATCTTTTGCAAATAACGGCTCTTGTTGAAAGATCCTTGAAACCCCAATGCTTGAGAGTCTGTTCTGAAATGACATGAGATTAGGAATGTTTTGTTGCTTTTCAAGATCTTATTGCCAATTTCATTAGGTGGGCTTTTGTTAAATGACTTCTTGATTCTACATGTAAGTACATGAGTTATCCAGCCTGTTCGGCTAATTAAATAAGAAATCCACAAAAACTGCCCCCCACACCCCACCCCTACTCAAACGTCCTCCTCTCCCCATCTAAGGAATTAAAGTTGAAATCATGGTTGAACTAGTTTGGCAAATACTTCCTCACAGATTTTAAAATCCATTTTTTTTAACAAAAAAATGGTCATCTACATCCCTACTCTCATCTGTGCTCATGAGTTTTGAGTCATGACCAAAAGAACGAGATCTCGATACATGCGTCGAAATGATTTTTCTCCGTAGAGTGTCGGGGCTCTCCCTTAGAGACACTCTGACAAATTAACAAACAGTTAACAAATTAACTCTTAACATCTGCAAAAGATTCCTGAGGCCTTTAAAACTCCCAGCCTGGTTCATCACCCCAATCATAGACTGCCAGAAGGCCATCATTGACACCCTCAAGCAAGAGGGTATGACACAGAAAGATATTTCTGAATGAATAGGCTATTCCCAGAGTGCTGTATCAAGGCACCTCAGTGGGAAGTCTGTGGGAAGGAAAAAGTGTGGCAGAAAACGCTGCACAAGGAGAAGAGGTGACCAGACCCTGGGGAAGATTGTGGAGAAGGGTCGATTCCAGACCTTGAGGGACCTGCAGAAGCAGTGGACTGATTCTGGAGTAGAAACATCCAGAGCCACTGTATACAGGCATATGCAGGAAATGGGCTACAGGTGCCGATTTTCCCCGGGTCAAGCCATTTTTGAACCAGAAACAGCGGCAGAGGAGCCTGACCTGGGCTACAGAGAAGCAGCACAGGACTGGTACTCAGTGGTCCAAAGTACTTTTTCGGATGAGAGCAAATTTTTCATGTCATTTGGAAATCAAGGTCCCAGGGTCTGAAGGAAGACTGGGAAGAAGGAAATGCCAAAATGCCAGAAGTCCAGTGTCAAATACCCACAGTTAGTGATGGTCTGGGGTGCCATGTCAGCTGCTGGGGTTGGTCCACTGTGTTATTAAGGGTAGGGTCAATGCAGCTAGCTATCAGGAGATTTTGGAGCACTTTATGTTTCCATCTGCTGAAAAGCTTTATGCAGATTTTTCAGCACAACCTGGCACCAGCTCACAGTGCCAAAACCACTGGTAAATGGTTTACTGACCATGTATTACTGTGCTCAATTGGCCTGCCAACTCTCCTGACCTGAACCCCATAGAGAACCTGTGGGATATTCTGAAGAGAAAGTTGAGAGACACAAGAACCAAAACTCTGGATGAGCTAAAGGCCGC